CATTTTTTTTTGTCTTCCTGGAGTGGAGTCATGTGAGTTCTTTATATATTTTGGAGTTCAAACCCTTGTCTAAGGTACCACTGGCAAATATGTTTTTCTGTATACTTAGCTCTCTTTTCATTTTAATGCTGTTTTCTTTAGCCATGCAGAAGCTTTTTAATTTAACAAGGTCCCATTTGTTTATTCTTTCCTTTATGTCCCTTGCTTTAAGGGACCTATGAGTTTAGATGTTGCTGCATGGAATGTCTGAGATTTTTCTGCTGGTGTTTTCCTCTAGGACTTTTATGGTGTCATGACCTATATTTAAGTCTTTTAGCCACCTTGAATTTATTTTTGCATATGGTGTAAGTTGGTAAATGAGTTTCTTTTTTTTTTGCATGTAGTTGTCCAGCTTTCCCGACACCATTTGTTGAAGAGGCTATTTTTACTCCATTTTATGTTGCTGCCCCCTTTGTCAAATATTAATTGACCAGAGAGACTTGGGTTTATTTCTGGGCTCTCTGTTCTGTTCCATTGGTCTATGTGACTGTTTTTATGTCAGCGCCAGGCTGTTTGATTACAGTGGCCTTGTAATACAGTTTGATATCAGGTATTGTGATCCCTCCTGCTTTGTTCTTCTTTCTCAAAATTGCAGCAGCTATTTGGGGTCATTTATGGTTCCATATAAATTTTTGAAATGTTTGTTCTATGTCTGTGAAATATGCCATTGGTACTTTAATAGGTATTACATTAAATTCGTGAATTGCTTTGATTAGTATGAACATTTTGATGATGTTAATTTTTCCAATCCATGAACATGGTATGTGTTTTCATTAGTTTGTGTCTTCCTGAATTTCTTTCTTCAGTGTTGTGTAGTTTTCTGAGTACAGGTCTTTTATCTCCTTGGTTAGGTTTATTCCTAGGTAGTTTATTTTCCTTGTTGCTACAGTAAATGGAATTTTTTTTCCTGACTTCTATTTCTGATGTTTCATTGTTGGTGTACAAAAATGCCTTTGATTTCTGAATATTGACTTTGTACCTGGCTGTTTTGCCAAATTCATTTATTAGGTTGAGTAGTGTTTTGGTGGAGTCTATAGCGTTTTCTGTGTACACTATCATGTCATTTGCAAACAGTGACAGTTTTGTTTCCTCCTTTCCAATTTGGATGCCTTTTATTTTCTTTTCTTGTCTGATTGCTGTGTGGCTAGGACTTCCCGTACTATGTTGAATAAGAGTGGTGAGAGTGGCCATCCTTGTCTTGCTCCTGATCTTACTGGGAAAGCTTTAAGTTTTTGTCCATTGAGTATACTATTGGTCATAGGTCTCTCATACATGGCCTTTATTATATTGAGGAATGCTCCTTCTATTCCCACTTTGCTGAGTGTCTTTATCATAAATGGGTGATGTACCTTATTAAATGCTTTTTCCGAATCTATTGATAAGATCATGTGATTTTTGTCTTTTATTTGTGTGATGTATTATGTTTATTGATTTGCGAATATTGTACCGCCCTTGCATCCCTGGGATGAATCCCACTTGGTCATGGTGTATGATCTTTTTAATATATTGCTGGATGCAGTTTGCCAGTATTTTGTTGAGGATTTTAGCATCTATGTTAATCAGCGATATTGGCCTGAAGTTTTCTTTCTTTGTTATGTCTTTATCTGGTTTGGGGATTAGGATGATGCTGGCTTCATAAAAAGAGTTTGGGGTCTTCCATCTTCTTGAATTTTTAAAAATAATCTGTGTAGGATGGGGGTTAGCTCTTCCTTAAACACTTTGTAGAATTCTCCTGTGAAACCATCTGGTCCAGGGCTTTTATGTGTCAAAAGGTTTTTAATTACTGTTTCAATTTCATCAGGTGTTATTGGTCTGTTCAGGCTTTCTGCTTATTCTTCATTAAGTTTTGGAAGATTATATTTTTCTAGAAATTTGTCCATTTCACCTGTTTTCAAATTTCTTGGCATACAGTTCTTTATAGTCATTTCTCACAACTCCTTGTATTTCTGTGGTGTCAGTTGTACTCTCTCCTCTTTCATTTCTGATTGTGTTTACTTCGGTCCTCTTTCTTTTTTTCTTGATGAACCTGCTTAAAGGCTTGTCTATTTTGTTTATCTTTTCAAAGAACCAGCTCCTGGGTTCATTGATCCTTAGAATTGTGCTTTTAATCTCTATGTCGTTTAATTCTGCTCTGATCTTGGTTATTTCCTTCCTTCTACTTGCTCTGGGTTGTCTTTGTTGTTGTTCCTTGAGTTCTTATGGTTGTAAGGTTAGGTTGTTTATTTGAAACGTTTGTATCTTTTTTAGGTAGGTCTGTATAGCTATGAACTTTCTTCTCAGGACTGCCTTCACTGTTTCCCATAAGTTTTGGGTTGTTGTGAGTTCATTTTCAATTGTTTCCAGAAACTTTTTAATTTCTTCCCTAATCTCATATTTGACCCATTAATTGTTTAATAGCATGCTATAAAATCTCCAAGAGTTTGAGTGTTTGAGGTTTTCTTCCTTGAGGTTGGTTTCTAGTTTTAATCCCTTGTGGTCAGAGAAAATGCATGATATGATTTTAATTTTCTTAAATTTGTTGAGGCTTGTTTTGTGCCCTGTCATGTGGTCTATCTTTGAAAATGTTCCATGTGCATTTGAAAAGACTGTGTATTTTGCTTCTTTGGGGTGAAGGGCTTTATATATATCAGTTAAATTCATTTCATCTAGGGCATTGTTCAATGCCACAATATCTTAGTTGATATTTTGTTTGGAAGATCTATCTATTTTTGACAGTGGGGTATTAAAATCTCTAGTATAATTGTGTTGCTGTCAATATCTTTCTTGAAGTCCTCCAAGATTTTCTTTATGTATTTGGGTGCTCCTATGTTGGGTATACATATATTTACAATGTTTATGTCTTCTTGATGGATTCTTCCCTTGAGCATTATGAAGTAACCTTTTGGATCTCTTTTTATGGTTCTTTTTTTTGAAGTTTATTTTGTCCAATATGAGTATTGCTACCCCATCTTTTTCCCTCTCAATAAACTCATTAATATTGATCTTAGCAATATTTTTTGGATATGTCTTCTATGGCAAAGACAACAAAAGCAAAAATTAACAACTGGGACTACATCAAGCTAAAAACCTTTCATACTGCAAAGAAAATCATCAAGAAAACAAAAAGACAACAGACTGAATGGGGGGAATGTTTGCAAATAATATATCCAGTAACGGAATATTGTCCAAAATATGTAAAGAATTTATTCAACTCAACATTAAAATAATCCACACAGGACTTCTGGCCAACATGAAGGCGTAGGTAGATACACTTTGACTCCTTGCACAACGAAAAGAAGGACAACAACAAATAACTATAACCACCAGAAAACTGAATTGTAAGGAAGTCTGACAACCAAGGAGTTAAAGAAGAAACATTCATTCAGACTGATAGGAGGGGCAGAGATGGGCAGCTGAGGCAGAGAGGACGTGTGGCAAGGTGGCTGCTGGAGGACCGGGTATGCAAGGCAGCAGCTGGCAGACAGGCAGTCCCATGTTTGTGTGTGGATAACCAGGAGGAACAACTGAGGAGTGAGACAGACTGTTCAACCCAGGGTTCAATGCAGGAAAATAAAGCCTCAAAACCTCTGGCTGTGAAAACCTGTGGGGGGTTACGGTAGCAGAAGAAACTCCCAGCCTCACAGAGAGTGTGTTGGAGAGACCCACAGGGTCCTAGAACATACATAAAGTCACCCACCCGGGAATCAGTACCGGAAGGGCCCAGTTTGCTTGTGGGTAGCAGGGGAAGTGACTGAAAGCTGGCAGAGCTGAGCAAGGAGCATTGTTCCCTTTAAGACCCCTCTCCCACATTCAGTACCACTGTGCAGTGACATGGGTTGCCCTGCTCCAGTGAATACCTAAGGCTCTGCCCCTTATTACATAACACGTGTGTGGAGACAAAAAAATATGGTCTCAATGAATGAACAGATCAAACCTCCAAAAATAGAATTAAGTGATGAAGAGATAGCCAACATATCAGATGCAGAGTTCAAAACACTGGTAATCAGTATGCTCAAAAGAATGATTGAGTATGGTTGCAAAATGGAGGAAAAAGTGGAGGCTATGCAAAGTGAATTGAAAAGAAATGTACAGGGAACCAACAGTGAAGAAATGAAAACTGGGACTCAAATCAACAATTTGGAGCAGAAGGAAGAAATAAACATTCAATCAGAACAGAATGAAGAAACAAAAGTTCAAAACAATGAGGAGAGGCTTAGGAACCTCCAGGACAATTTTAAATGTTCCTACATCAGAATCATAGGGATATCAGAAGAAGAGGAAGAGCAAGAAATTGAAAACTTATTTGAAAAAATAATGAAGAAAAAGTTGCCCAATCTGGCAAAGGAAATAGACTTTCAGGAAGTCCAGGAAGCTCAGAGAGACCCAAAGAAATTGGACCCAAGGAAGCACACACTAAACCACATCATAATTGCATTACCCTATTAAAGATAAGGAGAGAATCTTAAAAGCAGCAAGAGAAAATGAGACAGTTACCTACAAAGAAATTCCCATGACTATCAGCTGATTTCTCAAAAGAAACCTTGAAGGTGAGAAGTGGCTGGAAAGAAATATTCAAAGTCATGAAAGTCAAGGACCTACATCCAAGATTACTTTATCAGCAAAGCTATCATTTAGAATGGAAGGGCAAATAAAGTGCCTCCCAGATAGGTCAAGTTAAAGAAGTTCATCATCACCAAGCCCTTATTATGTTAAATGTTAAAGGGACCTATCTAAGAAAAAAAAGATGATCAAGCCCATGAACAGTAAAATGATGACAAACACATAACTATTAACAACTGAACCTAAAACAAAAACAAAAACAAACTAAGCAAACAACTAGAACAGAAACAGAATCACAGAAATGGAGATCACGTGGAGGGTAATCAATGGACAGGGGGAGGAGGAGCATGGGGGGAAAGGTACAGGGAATAAGAAGCATAAATGGTAGGTACACAATAGACAGGAGGAGGTTAAGAATAGTATAGAAAATACTATTCTTTCAGTAATAATTTCTATAGTTCGTTACTAGAGAAGTGTCTCCGAACATTTAGAGCACCTGAAACTACAGAGAGGAGATGCAATGTTTTCTCCTGAGGGGGAAGCTGGCTTTTGGTGTTGCTTTTGTGACTGGTAATATTTCTTGATGATTGTTCTTCTCTTCCTTTGGAAGAGGAAGAGGGAGCGAACACAGTCTGAATGGTTACAAAAAGAATAGTATAGGTAATGCAGAAGCCATGGACATGAACTAAGGTTGGGGAATGCTGGTGAGAGGGCATTGCAGGGCAGAAGCAAATATAGGGGAGAAAAAAATGAAGCAACTGTAATAGCATAAGCAATAAAACATATTTTAAAAAACCTAAACAATGCAATTCAAATACAGGCAGAGGATCTCAATGGACATTTCTCTGAAGAGGGTATACAGATGGCCAATAGCCATATGAAAGGATGCTCACCATCACTAATCATCATGAAAATCCAAATTAAAACCACAATGAGATATCTCCTCAAGTGTGTCAGACTGGCCATCATCAATACATCAACAAACAAGTTGGATAGGTTGTGGAGAACAAGATACCCTCATGCATTGTTTGTGCATACAGATTGGTGCAGCCACTGTGGGAAATAATATGGTGGTTCCTCTAAAAACTAAAAATAGACCCAGCTATTCCATTTCTGGGTATTTTTCTGAAAAAAATCCAAAACATTAATTTAAAAAGATATCTGACCACTGTGTTCATTGCAGCATTATTTACGTTAGCCAAACTATAGAAGCAACATGAGTCCAAGGATAGAATATGGATAAAGAGTATGTAGTACATATAAACAATGGAATGTTAGTCATGAACAAGAATGAAGTCTTGCCGTTTGCAACAACATTGGTGGTATTATGCTAAATGAAATAGACAGAGAATGACAAATATTATATGATTTCACTTATATATGGAATCTAATAAAATAAATGAACAAATAAATCAGAAAGACTCATAGCTAAGACAGACTGATGTTAGTCAGATGGGGGGTTGTCGAAGGGATGGGTGAAAATAGTGAAGGGAATTAAGAAGTACAAATTGCCAGTTATAAAAACAGTCATGGAGATTTAAAGTACAGCACAAGAAATATAGTCAATAGCCCTGGCTGGTGTAGCTCAGTGGATTGAGCGCAGGCCTGTGAACCAAAGGATTGCAGTTAGATTCCCAGTCAGGGCACATGCCTGGGTTGCAGGCCAGTTGCCAGCAGGGGACGCATGAGAGACAACCACACATTGATGTTTCTCTCCCTCTCTGCTTCCCTTCCCCTCTAAAGATAAATAAATACAATCTTAAAAAAAGAAATATAGTCAATAATATTGTAACAGCTATGTGTGGTGTCAGATGGGTAACAGACTAATCAGGGAGATCACTTCTTAAGGTATAGACATGAATAAAGTATGTTGTACACCTGAAAGTATTGTAATATATTGTATGTCAACTGCAATTGAAACATAAATGTTTTTTAAAGGTTTCCAAGGGCTGGTGAGACAAATGAAATGTGACAGAGACTGTTAGTGGGAATAGGATTTCTTTGGGGAGGTGGCATGACGAAGGGACGGAAGTTCTAAAATCACAATGATGGTTGCACAACTCTAAATATATTAAAAACTATGGATGTACCTACTTCAAATGATTGATTAATAGCATGTAAATTATATCTTAACAAAGTTGTTAAAAAACCACTGAGATATGAATTTTTATTCCTCAGACTGGCAAAATTAATGCAAGTTAGGGGACGGTCTCTCTCATAATTGTTGATAGAAGTATAACTAGTGCCCACTGTTTTTGAAGAGCACTTTGGCAATCTCTACCAGAATTTAAAAAGCATATACTCTTTGACCTTGCTTCCATTTCCAAGTCTATGACAGTGATTTTTAACATTTTTCACCTCATGGCACACATAAATTGATCACTAAAATTCTGCAGCACACCCAAAAATATGTTTTTTGCCAATCTGACAAAAAAAAACAGGTATAATTTTGATTTATTCACACCAGATAGCTGTTATTGTATCACTATTGCCATTTTTTAAATTTGACACCCTAAGAGAAAAAAGGTCAGTGCTCCTGACTAAATAGTCAGGTATTGCATGTTTTTAAAATTCTTGTGGCCCACCAGTGTGCATAGCAGTTGAAAATTGCTCACCCATGGAAATACTCAATAGTACACTAAGTTGTTTGCTGGAGCATTATAAGAACAAAGAAATTGGACGTAGCTCTGGCCGGTGTGGCTGTTAGTCGCAGTGTCTCCAATAACCAAACTTTGTGGGTTTGATTTCCAGTCAGGGTACATAACCTAGGTTGCAGATTTGATTCCTGGTCTGGGCATGTATAGTCACTAGTTCAGGTGCATTTGGAGGCAACCAATCAATGCTTCTTTTTTGTATTGATGTTTCTCTCTCTCCCATCCTGTCTCTCTAGAAGCAATGTCTTTGGGTGAGAATTTAAAAAAGAAACTGGACATAAAAACATTGTCAGAGAATGCAATCATGCAATGGAGCAAAACACGGCCATTAAAAACAATGTGATAGATTAGACTCTGTTAATGTGGAAAGACCCATAGATACGTGTTTTAAGTGGAAAAAATTTGCAAGGTACAAAATAGTGGGCAGAGTGTGATTCTCTTTTCATCATTAAAAATGCTGCTTTATCAAGGTGTTCTGGAATTGAATGCAAAAAGTGGTGTGAAAAGGACCACTCTTTCCTCAACTGTGAAAGGGACTGCCAAAGAAAAGATTTTAGTTTTTATTCTATCTTTTGGAACTGTTCGAAATTTCTAAATGTGTGCTTATGTTAACTTTCTTTTTAAAATATCACCGGAATTATCTGCTTGGTGACATTACAAACCATTTTCATTTTCTTTATGCTTTTCTATATGGAAAAAGAAAACCTTTTAAAATTTCCTGGATTCCAGAAGAATGAGATGATTCTCTGTGTGTGTGTGTGTGTGTGTGTGTGTGTGTGTGTGTGTGTGTTATACTATAGTTTCCTAAGAGGATCTCCTGCTTTGGGCCTGGGTTTCTCATCCTCAGGAAAAAGTAGTAGAATGCGCTGGGGTGTTTACTGGCTTTCGTAGCCGGAGACCAACATTTTACTGAGTGTTTGCCTGAATGTTTCTCTAGAGGCAGCTCTCACCTCCTCCCAGCCCTTCCTTGCCCTGCTAATCTGGTGTAAAGCCAGCTCATATTGGGCAGGGAGTGGGGCTTGAGGGTCTGGATGAGGAGACAGGAACAGGGTCACTCCTCAGAAACAGCAAAGTGCACATGCAGGAAATTGTCCCAGAGGATGCTTTGTGGGTGCAGAAGCAGCTGGCTAGAGCCTACTTTCTAAGTAGGGCTGCGGGGGTCTTGAAGACTGGTGCCAGGTGGACCCAGCCCCTGATACCAGTTGAGTCCTGGAGCCACATACGTGTGTGTCTGGGAGTTGGTTGGGGGCACCTGTGTCTGTGCTTCCACATGTGTTTGTGATTTACAGGTCTGCGTTTCATGTATGTGAAAAGCAGCTTTACTGTTAAGCTCCAGGGACCTCACATACTCCCTTTCCAAGGCTCTGCCTTCAATTTGTATTTAGTTTTAATCTTCTGATTTGGAAAAACTCCCCCTCCCCACTGAATAAACATCAGGCCAAACCTGCTCCTGACATATTTGTATCATGCCGTCACATGTTTATCGTGCCCATGTATGTCTGCCTCCCTCCTTTCTCTCCTCCTCTTCCTGTCTTTCTTCCCTCCTTCCTTTCTTCTTTCCATATTTGTGTTTCAGGAACTTCCCTTTCTGGGAAAGAGGTACAATAATGGGGAAGACACTCAATTCCAGAGAGGTTCAGGGGTCCACACAAGCATATTGTGGGGCACCTGACCTTGAACCTGGGACAATCAGGAAAACAAATACTGGAAGAATTGAAGAATTGGCAGGGGTGGCCAGACCTGAATAGATATGGCGGAAAATACTGTGTTTGCGTGACTACGAGTATCTGTGAGTGCCTGTACCTGTCTTGCATGCGATGAGGTGGGTGCGTGCCTGTGGCTTGTGGGTTATTTTTGTCCCTCTCCATTGGTGCAGCTGAGGGAAAATCTGAGGGCATGTGTGCTGTTGGCCTCCAGTGGCAGAGGCCAGGCAGTGATGTGGGCTAACGAGGAATTCATTAGCTAAGGAATTCCCTCTGGGCCAGTCCTTCTGTGGGAGCAAAGTGCTAAGAGCCCAGAGATGAGAGTGATGATTTCATCCATCCCAGGGGATCCAAACATCCCCACTGGTCTTGAGAGGCCCTGCCAACCTCTTCTAAGGCTGAGGCTGGGTACTCTAACAGTTGTAACGATTTCTCATCCTTTGGACACCTCCTGGTCACAGGCCGGATTAGCTTTTTGATTTGGGGTATGGTGTAAATGATAGGCAGAAGTGGCCAAGCCTGAGTGTCAGGTTTCCATGGTGATGGGCCCTGTGAGTGCTCTATGTTAATAAGATGTTTGCAGGCAGTACTGAGTACAGGGTCAGTTTTCAAGCCCAATTCACTTCTATTACAGAGTTGGCTCAGAAACGGCTGTTGAAATATCCAAGGTCACCTAAAACACTAGGGTTTATTCTCTACTTACTCTCCACTCCCCAGATCCACTTGCCACAGTTTTCCACCTTGCTTTGTGTCCCCCAGTGAAGCTGCCCCCTGTGGACACCATTACCTGAGCTTGCTTGGTGTCGCCCCCAGGCTGGCTTCTGCCGATGGGAGGTGCCAGTGGGCATCAGAGAGCACGAGGAGAGAACAAGTTGGGATATTTCCCCACTTACCCCCAATTTTGGCAGTGGCTGTGTTTCTCTGTAGACACTGCTCTTCTCAGGGGACCCCTGACCCATAGCTGCAGCTCTCCCTGGTTCCAGGAAACCACACTTCCCCTCCTCCCTTTACCTTTAGTGGGTGGTCTCCCACTACTGCCAGCCCAGGTAATGCACCGTCATCTGTCGACTCCCTTAACCTCCACACAAACCTCAGGTAAACTGCCTCTTTATGTAACTCTTTTCAGTAAACCCTACCAAATGGGTCCTCCTGCTAGAACCCAGTGCAGTTTCCCATGTGGTAAGAAGAAAATATACTTTTTCTGCTTCTTGATCACAAGCTCCTTCTGACCTCAAGACCTTTGCACTTGCAGTTTCTTCTGCTTATTTAAAAGTCATCTATTCA